ATTTTGACTTTTATTAGTCATGACAAGTTAAATTTTTAATTTTGTAGCTCTTGCTATAATCATGTACTGTAGTATAGATAATTATTTTGATGAAATGAAAGAAACTTCTTGGATGAATTTATTTTCAGTATTTTGATATTTTAATAGCTTTATTGTCTGCAATTTTATTTGAAATGAAATTTGAAGAGACTATAAACATTCCAAAACTACATATTGAGAAATGTTTATCACAGCTCAACACAATGAGATCTATCCTAATTGGATTGATGTGTGACAAATTTATTACCTCCTCTTCTAATTCTTTTTATGATGAATTCGAGGTGGAATCTGCTCAAAAAGTCTTATGCATCATTTGCTTCCCTTTTCTAAAATTAGTATTTTTCTAACCCTTCTTCTTAGCAGGGTGAGTTTTCAGGTTGGGGCAATCATATCTTACATGCCCTCAATTCTTGCATTAAAAGAAAGTTATTTAGATAAACTTTTAAGAATTTGCTTCCCTTACCATTGCCCTTTTCAAAATATTGCTTGTTTCTGCTTTAGGAAGCTTTTGAATTGGCTCGTCATAAGGGCTATATCATCAATGTCATCTGATTCTGAGATGTTGATGTTTGAGTCATCAACCTTTAGAGCCATGATCTCCCTCCATTTCTCTCATATATCATGCAATCTTTGGTTTACATTTTGCTCATAGGTAATAAGTTTGCCAAGTAGATTATCAATTGAATAAACATTTAGGTTATTTGATTCATAGATAGTAGTGACATTTGCATCAAAATAATTAGGTATACAATGTAATATTTTGTTAACCTTTTCAGAATTTGAAAGTTCTCTACCTATAGCAAATAGAGATGTCACAAATTTAGTACATCTTTTATATATGTCAGAAATAGGCTCATTTGGTTTCACAAGAAAAAGTTCGTAATCATGTAATAGCAAATTTAAATGAGATTGTTTGACATCATTTGTACCCTCATAATAAATACATAATTTATCACAAATTTTTATTTCAATAGTACAAGTAGAGTCTCATATTGTCTTCTTATTAAAGTGCACAAAAAAATACTTAAAAATTTTTGCAATTAGTTTTGTGTAGTCTCTATCTTCATTACTCCATCCATCAAAAGGTAATTCAATTTTTACATCATTCACAAATTTAAATGTTATAGAATATCCTTCTTATATCATCTGCCACATGCCATAGTCGATTGATTGTAGAAATGTTGACATATGAATTTTTTAAAAATCAAACAAAATGATATGAAATAATGGTGGATAAGTTATTGAATAACCCCTTCGAAGTGTTTATAATCCCTTGGTGGATAAGTTATTGAATAACCCTTAATCTTCTTCTCAAGGATTTTTTAATCAATAATTTGAGACCCGCTCTGACACCAATTGAAAGTTCAAATGTGAGTTGTTAGACCTACTTGAACTACAAGTACACATCACGAGAGGGGTGATTTGGTGTTTTAAAAAAATTACCTTAAAAATTTATCCTTTTTAAAAGATTGCAAGTGAAAAAATAGTATGGTCAACATCAATCTAATAAAAATTTTATTTTAATTTTATAAAAGAAACTTGCAAAGAAAAAAATTTTATCATTTTTTTTTTTTAATTTTCTTTTGGAGCAAAATCAAAATATACTTCTAATGCCAAGCAAAGCTCACAAATCACAGATTTACAATAAGCAAAATGCAAGAAAGATAAGTGTAAAAAAATAAAAGCAAAGAACTAAGAATGAACACACAAGAGATTTATAGTGGTTTGGTCAATCTTGATCTACATCTACTCCATGGAGTCCTCCACTATGAGAAGGGCGCTAAAAATTTAGTGACTCTCCTTTTACCCCTATAACAAGGCGGATAAGCCCTTACAAATCACTTCCACCTCCTTGGTGTGACGGAAAAGCTAAATCCCTTACACATCCTCGGTGTTGCAGAATAGTCGAATCCCTTTCACCTCCTCAACACGGCAGAGTGGCTGAATCCCTTTCACCTCCTTGATGTAGCAGAGAAGCCGGATCCTTCCCACTAAGAGACACCTACAGAGTTTTCCTCAAGTAATGAAAGACCTTGGAGGAGGTGTAAGATTACCGAGCAACCATGTGTGTAAACCCTCTCATACGCTCTCGTTCCTATAAGAATTTCCCCCTCAAGACCTCACATCTCTCTCTCTCAAAGCAATGCTTCCTCTTCAAACCATTCTCATAGAAGCTCCCCCTCAAAAAAAGTGGCAAAAGATCCTCTTAAATGAATTAAGAGTATTGAAAGAAGGGCCAAAAAATCCTAAATATTCAATTCAACAATCATTGATCATATACTATACAATATGAGTATCATGCAGTCGATTAGTTCAATAAGCCATGACAGTACTATACGGTGAGGGATGCACAGTACGATCAGTTCAAATAATTTGGTATGATTGTCCTATATAATATTATTCGTACAATACAATTAGTTCAATTGAATCTTATGTTCGTACAGGATGAAACCAAATGATTAATTATTGTCATGGTATCTTCTTGGTTTGTAACTTATGATACTATGTCATCATGTACAAATAGTTCAAACAACCGTACGAAGTACCCTTCATACTGTATGATCACAAATCACCATCAATTATAGATTCGATTGTTTAATTTTCGGGATTAATTTACGCAAAAGTTTTGAAGTTCTGTAAACTAGGTCGTATCATACAAATAGTACAAAATTTATTTTTTTTTAAATTCCCTCAATATGATTGGCAGCTAGGAGCACAAATTTAAATGGATTGTTATGTACGATCATGTTCGTACAATATGATACGTTTAAAATTCTTTATCTCTCAATTAGTCGTTCCCCTTCCTCATGTCATTTATTAAGTTTTGTGTTGGCTCCTATTGGATGTTTGGTATGGCTCATTAATGTGAGTAGTTAACTGTTATTCCCCTATAAATGTGGCTATTTTGTTATAGTTTTGAAAAGAGAATGGAATGATTTTTGGTTTACAAACCTGCAGGTTTTTCTAGCTTGCAATCTAGCCTTCTCTCCCCTTTCCCTCTACAACTTCGTCTCAATTTTCTACATCTTCTTCTCTCCACGATTCCTTCCCCACATGTATATTTCTTCTCTTAAATTAATATAAGTCTTAAGTTGTGACATATCTTGTTCTAATATAATTTATAAGTGATTTCTTTTAGATGTTGAAAGCTTTGTTGTTTTCTATTTAGTGTTTGTATTTTCTATATTGAAAGGAATGTCTTTTATTTGCAATTCTAGTTTGATGTTTTTTTATTTTACATACCTAGTGTTCTCTTACTTGGATTAGGATTCCTCGGTTGCACCAATTTAGTATCAGAGCTTTAGGTTTTTTAGAGTTTTTTTTTTTCTTTAGAAAAAATAAAAAAACAAAAAAAAAGATAGTCCAATCAATCAACAAGCCGAAGTTCCAAATCAAGATGTAAATGAGTCTCAAGATGAATTTGATCATATAGATTTTGCAAGTCAACCTTCTATGTCTTGGATTCCAAAGGAGAAATTTTCAGGCACAAATTGGGTACCAACACAAACATGTTCTACTAATCCTCTACAAAACGAATTTTACAAAATTCAAAGACGAATGTTTTTCTGTGCATAGAAATATGAAAATAAGAGGTGTCTACTTCAATCCGAGTTTATTCGATAAAAAGTGAAGGTCCCAATGAATTACGACATTTTGATACATGAATCAGAAAATGCACATTTGGAACATAATGAATGTTCTAATGCTATCTCACTAGGGGATGAGATCTCTCCACATGGGGAGCATTGATGTAGGCAAAGCTAGATGTTCAGTATTTCTTTGGTTTATTCAGATTGTTTGGTGGCTATTGAATTTCCTGCTGGGTTTCTATGCAGATTTCAATTTCCTGAATACTTGGAATTTTTTTTTTTCAGGTTTCCTATGCTGGTTGATCCCCTTCCCTATGCTATTTCCTAAGTTTTGTGTTGGCTCCTATTGGATGTTTGGGGTGGCTCATTAATGTGAGTGGTTGGTTATTTTTCTTCCATAAAAGGGATTATTTTGCTGCAATTTTGAGAATAGAATGGAATTTTTTTTTGTTTACAAACCTGCGGGTTTTTCTAGCTTGCGAGCTAGCCTCTTTCCCCTTTCCCTCCACTACTTAGTCTTGATTTTCTACCTCGTCTTCTCTCTCCATGATTCTCACCCCACATGTATCTTTTTTTCAATTAAATTATTGTAAGTCTTAAGTTGTGTCGTGTCTTGTTCTAATATAATTTGTAAGTGATTTCTATTAAAAGTTAAAAGCTTTGTTGTGTGATGTTTAGTGTTTACATTTGTCATATTGAAATAAATAACTTTTTTTTTTTTTTTTTTGCAATTCTAGTTTGGTGATTTTTCTTTTGCATGCATAGTGTTCTCTTACTTGGATTAGGATTCCTAGGTTGCACCAATTGCAGAACAGCAAACCTATTCTATGGGATCTTTAGTCGAACCTTTATTTCACGGTGTATGGAGTATCTAAAATGTTAGTGCACAACAAGAGAAATATGAAATAAGAATACTAAGAAGAACAAAGTAAAAAATCAATAATATTTGTTATCATCAAAATTATAAGCTCAAAATTCCAAATTAAAACACATAAAATATAAAAAAATAGATTCTCATGATTATAGATCTCATGAATCCTTCGTGAATTGAGCTCATATATTTTTACCTTTGCCCTAGAAATTGGAACACTTACCATGTGCTACATCAGCTTACCTCAAAGTGTGTACATAACCGTCAATCTAAATCATAGCCAAAAATCATTACTGTTCAAATAAGTTAAAAAATAAAAGCTACGGGAAAACTACTCCACGCCCTCCCAAATTTGGTACAAAAAAACCTTCATTGGAAGAAGATCTCCAAATTCTTTTTGTCGATTCTGCATCCCAGATGGAAACAATTCTGCAACAGTATTCGTCAAATGATGTCATATCAAGGATATTAATTGCTACCATGGGAATGGTCAAGAAATGTAGGAGAAAAATCATTTCACCAGTAAAGACGAAAAGCCATCAAGCTCATCTGAATTCATCAGATGATTAGGTCAAAAGCAATAGGCGTGCATAAGGCTTCCACAAATAAGACATGTTTCTATTTGATTTTGTGCAGACATTTTGTTAAACATTTACAAGGTAATCTTCATTCTTTATGGATAAATCGAAATACCATACTTCATTGTTCGTTTTCCTCTTTGCAGTGAAATAATGGAGTTACATCTGCAATATAAACGTCAAGAAATTAAATATAGTAATTACATGACAGAACAAACCACTTTTAAGTAACATCTTCTCAAATTCCATACTCACCTCAGCTTGTTTGGTAGCCTCCTGCACTTCAGCTAACTCCTGCTGATCCGGTACAATCTTCTTCCTCTTTTTCGTCTCCTTCTTTATAAGCTCGCAAAAAGTAGACAAAGATTCGAGTACCTTTGCTGCTTCAATTTCATCCCTTTTATCTGAATTCCCAATCTCAACCTTCTTGACAAAAGCATTAAGACTATCCACATGTTCGCTAGCCTGCTTTAGAACACTCTGCATATCTGTCCGTCTCTCCATGGTCGAATCCTCCAGCACCTGCATCTCATTCACAGCCCTCTGGTTCTCCTCTCGCTCCACCATGCGCTCATGAGCGTTACGGCCGAACATCTGAACAGCTTCCATGACTTTCAGCTGAGCCCATAGCTTCGTCGCTTTAACATGGTCTTCCAGCTTACGGATCCGGCGAATAAGGTCCATGATCATCTCCGTCTTCTGGTCCTGAAGCTCCTTATCTTCACGCTTCTCATCCTCAATTCTCATAGCCTCCAGTCTTTTGAGCACCAACTGCACCACGTCCTCTGCCTCTTCCTCCACTTCCTGCTGCCTTTGCCTGCCCTGCATCTTTAGCTCAGAGAAACAATTATTAGTTATGTTCTGTTTCGGAAAAAAAATTAAGTGACGACGGTGAATCAAAACGTTCCATGCTTTCTAATGGATGGGCTGCAGCACCATAGACAGAAGCTGGTTCAGAATCTCCACTCACCGCAAAAGGCAAAGCGGCACCAGGCGTGAATGCGCCCGCAGTACTAGCTGCTTGGAGATTACCAAGAGGCGAACGGGAAGGGAATTTAATGGAGCTTGCACGGCGAATGCGGAGGCGGCTAATGAGGAGGCACCATATGGCCTCACCGCGCGAGAGGTTTGCGCTGATCTGCTGCAGAAGGCAAACCATGGCAGCGAGAGAATACTCCTCGAGGTGGCGGAGGTCAGAGCAGGCGCCGGCAAGAGCGTTCCAGTCATCGGGAGTGTTGGCAGCTGCCGTGTTCAGGAACTCGAGTGCGTTCTGCATGATATTAGATAGTGGGTCCACGCCGCCGTAGTAATGGCCCTTGCAAAGAACGGCCCGAAGCGCCATGGCAGCGTCGTATCCGAAGGAGACCAAACGGGAGATAACCTCCTTGTAGACGCGATCGAGGTAATTGATAAGAATCTCCTCGAGCTGCTCCTCGGAGAAGTTGCCGCACCCATTTTCATCAAATCCGTAATTGTAAAGACTAGGGCCAGGGTTAAACCAGGGGCCTCGATTGTGTTTGATGCTAGGGTTCGCAACACGGGTAGGATCAGACAAGGGAACGGCAGTAGGAGAAGCACCGGGGGGGTGTTTGAGGACTCCGGAGTCTGAAGGGTTCATCGGGACCGCCGCCGCCGGGGGGGCTTGGCGCTTCCCGTCAATGGCACCAGCACTGAGGGGCTTCTTACTACCTTTGCGGCCCATGGTAGTCGATCTGCAGCAATTGCAGGTTCAGGGGACGGTGGTTGATAAACCTTACGCATTTCATGTCTTTTTGGTTGACAACCCCTCCCTCCAGATCCTAACTTGGCGCAATTGAAAAGCTCCATGGATCTCTCCGAATCTCTTGGTCAGCTCCTTCATATAAGAAAGCAAGATTTACTACAGATTGTTAGAATAACTCTAACTTGTTAAAGATAGCCCTCTGGAATTTGTCATTTACGAAACTTATTTATCTAATTATTTTTTGAATGCTTTATATATAGTTATTAGCCGAACCTGTTACCAATTTTTATGAGTCTTCTCATTGGGGGCACCAAATCCTTCCTAATTTAAGAATTGGTCAGGCAGGTCAGTAGGATTAAAAAATAACTATATAATAGCGCATCATAAATAATATTTAATTATTAATAAAAAAAATTATTATTTTATTTTGGGCATGTGCGGAAATTTTGGTGGCTTTTCTATGGCATTGTTTTTTATTTTTTGGGACATTTAGGCCATTTAAGGCAAACTCACACACACAACGCATACACAAAAACTGGAACCTAAGACCTCTTAGTTGGAATCATAAACTCTCAACCAACAGATCAATGTGAGCTGTGTTCTATGGCATTGTTGAGGCTTGATGTTTAAACCATTTAGAATTTGGTAGCTCCTTAATTAACATAGATACTTATTCTTCCTCTACTCCCAAGGGTTGCTCTCTTTTGCTATACCCATTGTCTTGGATGGATATCTTAAACCCTCCTGTTGGTGTCCTCAACTCCTCATTAGTCCAAAGCCTCAAATTGTATCAACCCTAAGTTCTTTAACCTTGAAATACTTATCTTAATAGTCAAAGCCATTAATCCGAAATAACGGACCTTCTAGATTAGTATTCCATGTCTTTTCTTCCATCAACCACTCCATTATATAGCACATAATAATTATGTCGACTTTGATTAAAATCTAGCAAGCAATAAACAAATCAATATGCAATTTTCTTTATTTTTATTAACATTTGTTAATATTTGTAATACATTTACTAGCAATGATTATGTAACCATTAGTAAAGCTATAACAGACAATACCTATGTACTCACATATGCCTCTTCATGTACTTAACAATTAATCATAGGGTCATAGGAGGTGAACTCATTCTCCATAGACCCACAAGGGGAACTCGACTAATATATCACTTTAACCTCACCCAACTAGACACCTAGAGGAGAGTTGCCTCCCTTGCACCAGGTGTGTCAAGGATTCTCAAATGCCACTCAATTCATCACTCATCCTTTAGCAATGAATATCCATAGGAGGCACTCGCCACTATCTATGACAAATCGTTGCTAATCACGGTCGTCATCTTAGTTACAAGAAAGCATTCATTTTAAGAGGTTACCTACTCACTCACCGTGATTAGCCATCCATGGAGCTCATTATTCCTGTAATATGATCTCACTCGCCTACTACTTAGAGGCAACCCAGAGCTAGTTGATTACTCCCTCTTTCTCTCCATTATCGCATATGTTTTCAGGTTATACTGTAAGAGCTAGCTTGCTAGTAAGGCAACTCATAAATAAATTTTGATATAAAATCCTCAAAGGTACAATAAGAATGGATTGATGATAGAAACTAGAATACAAGCTCAACTAAACAAGCTAAACAACATTAAACATTTAGTGAACATGAGAACCCAACTATAATACTTGTTAAGACAACATGGAGAAGGAATAATGGTTGAAAAAAATGATCTAAGATGCCCTAAGAGGGTTGCCTAGGCACTCACAAAGGAAACGTACACTAAAGGGATCATTTGACTCAGTAGCTTTCCATAAGATGCTAAATTGAAAAGCACTAAATTTAACACTTATCTTTTACCCCACTCCCATGATGATGAGTGGTGAAGAGTAGAACACACCTAGCCCACAAGTCCTAAGAGTTGAATGTGAGTTGACTAATGTCATTTCTAAGGAGATTCTAGTGGCTAGGTCATCTCCTAGGTTCACGATGCCACATTTAGAGTCCTGAATGGGCAAGATTGATTTACTGGGCCATCTCGCTATTTTTTAATCAATGAATTTCATCCTGGACATTGATGATTCCCTAAAATGTTGCTTATTCTTCAGGACACTTAAAGAGTTTACGTTGAGGTGCTTCATTAGCCTACCAATAAGGTATTGACTTCCATCTAAGAATTCAAAATAATAACTCATAGGCTATCCTCTATATGAGCACGAACCAGGAGTGACATTAATAAATTTTATTATAAGGTTCTAGAGGGAGATGGTAAAAGTGAAGGATTTGGTGTCTAGTTCGCCCAAGTTGCCTTAACTAAATGATTAAAAGAATGCTTGCTAAATAATTAGAGCTTATCAATAGTCATGTTAATGCTGAAGAATATAATAGACTGAGTCTTCTACATTCATTCACCCATATGAACTCGCAACTCAAAGAGAATAGCATTAAGGATGAAATCGAGAAAGAGTTTGCCCTTGGTAACGAAGAGATGGAGGACCTTATCTGCCATATGATTTCCATATAAGCTAGAACATCATAGAATGCCCATGCAACCTAGACCACTATGGATTGCAAGGCTACCCACACCAAGAGTGGAAGAGCCTCCTTATGCCACTCACCCATAAAAGGAAGAAGTCATACATCAAACCCCTATTTAGCTCACTTGTACTCCACCAAGGGTATGAATAATCAAGTTATTTGAGGCCATAAAAAATAATGAGTTATTTAAGCTCCATGTACCCTAAAGGCAAGTGCCAATGTCAAGGACACCTTTAGTGTAATAACCCAAAAAAATATGAAAATATGTTTAAAACATAGAATTTTTATTTGAACTAGAGCGCATCGATGAGTGCTATAGTGCTAGATTTGAGAGCACAGTGGCACCAAAAAATATCGCTACAGTGCTTTTAGTCTATCTTCTAATGTAATTCTAGATTTAATATGTAGTGTTGTGGCGTTGGGATTGAGCATTGAGATGCTAGGCCATTAACAACATTTTTTATAAATTGAAATTTATAAAATTCCTATGCACTCACCCTTACCCCTCACTCACTCATGCTTACTGGGGAAGGAAATAAAAGGGAGAGGGAGAGGAAGGAAGATAGTGGAGGAGAGAAAGTTATTCGGGGCATTTTCATCCATTATTTATGTTTAGAAAATCACTTGTAATAATAATGATAAAAGATGAAATATAATATTAATAATATAATGATGCAGTTAATACAAATGAATGGATGAAAATACCACATTAAAGCTAGATGTTCTACCTTAATGAACTATATACTAAATCATATATTAATGCATATATCATTAGTATCATTGACAAATAACATTGATAGATAGGATATCGTATGAATGGATATATATTGATTATATAATAGATAAGATTGATAAGATTGATGACATTGACATTAATACTTGTATACTTATGATTCATCTATAGGTTCACACATAATTTCATAATCGATGAGTTATTTTTTATTATACAGATTTATTATTTTACTACCTTTACTATTTTATTATTGCTGATTATTGTTACATTTATAGGCTCGCATAGATGTTGATTTATGAATTTGAATATAATGATTTAAGCTTTTTATTATTGATTATATTGGATTGTACTAATGGTGACTAATTATTGATGATATTGAATGTTATTGATTTTATTGATTGAGATGAAAATGCATGATGATTCTTGAGTAATGTGTTGAAAGCTTTAGTGAAGTTGTGTTATTATTGGGCTTGTTAATTTATTATATAGATTTTAATGATTTTAAGTCAGGGAAGGGTGTTTACAACTTTTACGAGCTTTGTTTGAAATGTGAAAAGCAATTATAATTATTTTCTTTGGAAAAATTTGAGTATTTGCTTTTAGATTTCCTTTAGTTTTATAATCTAACTCATCATCATGAGTGATATGCCATCTTAGACCATGAAGATATAATTCTCTGATAAGTTCAAATTACAAAACTTTAAACCTCATCTTGACTATCATAAATCAAATTTAGGTGAGAATTACATATGACTCTAAAGAGCAAATATGATGTTCAATCCTATGCTTAGCTGTGATAGTTAGAATGCTATATCATTAATTGTTATAGTTGGATCATCATATTGAACTACATATGACCCCGAGTGATTCAAAATGTCATTTGAATATCCATCAAACTATAATGCCTAGATATGTTCATTTTCCATTCAACTTGTATTTGGATGATCCAATAAGAACTGGTAAATGCATTTTTTTGTAAGTTAAAATGCACCGTTTATTATTGCATATCCTAAAGATGATGTTAATAATTATTCTTAATTTTTATTTTCTCAAAGAGAACATTTTTTTATTTATATGGAGTCTTAAATCTTCTATGAAGGTAAGCCTTCACAGTTTATTACATCATAGGAAGTTTTAAGTTTCCTAGGAATACTCTTGATTAAAATAATAGTAGAAATTTTATTTATTTTTATTTTTGAGAGTGATATCAAAGAAATGAAGTTAGAATAAGTAATTAATATTAGATCAAATTTAAAAACTTATTTTTGGAGGCCAATGGAGGAGGAGTATGAGTCACTTTGGGATTCTGAAACAATTAAGAAATGCCCATTCTATCCTATGTGTTAGGCTATAAATTTTAGATCAAAAAAAATTTTGATTTGAGTTTTCATTTTATTAAAATGTTGGGATTAGATTCTTGATGTTGGGTTCTTATGGTTTTGGGTCTACCCCGGATCCTAAATCTAAGTTGGGTACTAAATGATAGTGACCCTAATCTAACTAATGAAATATAAATTTAGGCTTACCTCAGTCTGGATTGGAATGCTAGCTAAATCACTTAGACATTTTAAATCCATGTATTCGATCAAATTTTAAGATTATTAGGGTGTTATTTAGCTTGAAAATAATTAAAATTTTATTAATTTAATTAGTTTCTAATGTAATGCATGCTAATTGATCTTATATGCATAAATGATATGAAATAATTTAAAATTTAGCTTAGAAAATAAAATTTTTCTTGGACATTGCATAACATCCCCTAGATAGAGCTGCACCCTAATAGATCAGGTAGTCTGCTACAACCCACAAGTGGGGAGATTTCGAACAAGGAAGAGAAAGTAGTTATGTATGCATGGGACCCTTAACGTGTCTAAGATTACTTCTTATATTTGCTTATCTTTTTAAGTTAGCCTAATTCTTTCATTTAGTTGTGAGTAG